CCCCAAAACCCCAAAACCCCAAAACCCCTGAGGCTATTTTCTTAGCCATTCAAAAATTAGATTAATTAAAACTATAATCTTTCAAAATGGGAGATAATCTTTAGGATCATAATATCAAATCTGAGATTAACAATTAATCAGCAATAGATACAGAGAAATCTCTTGATTAAAATGATCAGAAATATAATGCGAATGATGAGTAATTACCAGTGAGAGAAAGATAAGCAGCAGAATCCAAAGACTATAAACAGAAAAAGAGGAAATTTAACCCAGTAAAGGAAATGCCTAAGCTGAATCCAGAACCAGATTACATCATTAAAACAAGACCACCAATGTGGGATGATTGGAGATTGAATATTTTCAGAGGTGTCAAGGAGAACAGACTTAAGTTAGAAGCGAATAAGATTGCAAGAAGAAAATGTTGGGAAACTGGGCAAGCTCTTGAAGAATGTAGTGTAATAAAACCTTTTCCCCTAAATAATTTAGAGTGATAGAGGTATGTTTAAGGCATGGACTTGTAAGAAATAGTTTGATGATTTCCTGACATGCTGCTACCACGAATAATAAGTAGAGCTTGACAAGCTTAGAAGAGACACCAAGAAACACACAGAATGGTGGTGGCTTAATATATATGATGAGCATGGTGAAGTTGGTTTACAAGCTCACTGGAAACCCGAGGAAAGCCTCAAAGACATGTGGATAAAAAATATACTTTACAACTGGATATTCAAACCCACTGAATCCCAATAATTCGAATAGCGCCAGGAAAGACTTGAGGAGTTAAGGAAAAAATAGGGAGTCGACATAGATATATTCAAGGATGAGTTCAATTTGGACTTCCACATTGATGCAGAGAAAGCGCAAGAGTATGGAAACTTTTAGCTTGATAAAAAAATATACAATGTATGAGGTTAAATTATAGAAATTTTAATTATTGGAATTAATATTCAAATTAACAATATATTGAGATTTATTTCTGAAGCAGGGGTTTTGGGGTTTTGGGGTTTTGGGG